CGTTTCGACAAGGTTCTGTCATCATCAGGTACCGATGATGACAGAACCTTGTCGAAACGTTCTACATTTGCTGTTATGTTAAACTTATATTAAAGTTTTTCTTCATTACCCAATCAAGCCGTCTCCAACCATTATTAGTCTCAAAGTAGGATCCTCGTCATCGAAAAAGAGTTGGTATGTTTGAATTTCTCAAACGTAATTAGTAGGTATATTAAAATACAATCACATTACTTAGTGGTCTATCACTTTATTGTTTCCTCGAAAGGAGTATAGAGGGCACTACTTACATAACTAAGTCAGGCAGTAGCAATATTCTATCTTCTCAACAGATGGCGATAAAAATACAAATCAAAGTTATGTAGGGATGACTCAGATTGTTAATCGAAATGGTGTTTTAAATATTTCCTCTATAGGTCAGAAAATTTTACAATACTGTATAGTCTTTCCTTTTATAACGAACAATATCTATGTAATGACTGAGTCACAAGTTCTGGGAATATGTATAAATATCACAGCAAAAAATTTTAATTTTTGTTCTTTTTTTTCTGCTTCTTTTTTATTTCATGATAACATAAAAACCAAAACAGTTTTGTCAAGCAACTTCATTGAGGTTGTTTTTTTTTTTTTTAATTTCGCGCAAAGCTACTCGAGGGCTATCTACGCTACCCGTCCCTAATTTAGCAGTGTAAGACTAGAGGGAAGGCAGCTAGTCATCACCAACTCTTGGGCTACTCTTTTAACAACGAATAGTGGGATTGACCGTCGCAATATAACGTCCCCACGGCTGAAAGAGCGAGCATATTTGGTGGGACGGCGATTCGAACCCACGACCCTCACATTGCTAGTCGAGCGCCCTAACCACCTGGCAATGCCGGGTCTCATTGAGGTGACATAGTTTCAAACGGAGTATTCACTTGTATAAGTATTATTAATAACGAGAAGTAATTTAAAAAATCATAATTCTAGTGTAAGCGATGTTATAATTACCCCTTGAAGTTAGCTTTCTTACATAAATTTGGTGTTTCTTTAAAAAGTTTAAGTACAATGTGAAACAGAAATTACCAGCCAATAATAGATAAATATTAAATAATATAGTTGGAACCTCATTGTATTTAGAACTTGGTTATAAATACAATCTTCCTATGTCAATGAAATGCTTCATTAAAAAAAAAGCAAACAAGTAAATAAAACTCTTCCTGTTATGCCGTTCATCACTAGCGGGGACCACATATTGCGTTACCTTAACTAATTTTATGTTTATTATTTGACACAACACTACTCAGCGTAAATAAGTGAGAAAAAGGGTTAAATCACTTATTATGTAGGTAAAAAAATACAGACATTTCCAACAGTATATAACAGTATTTTTTTTTCTTGTGACATATATTATTAGCGAACCTGTAGCCAACAGATTAGTGCATAAATAGTTTAGATTCTTTTTTTTTTTTTTCTAATCCAATGGGTTTGTTTGTCAAATTGCGAGGAAAGTTACTCGAGGACTATTTATACTAGTCATGTTTAATTTAGAAGTGATATAATAGAAAGAAGGCAGCTAGTCAACACCACCGACTCTTGGGCTACTCTTTTACCAATGATAGTAGCATTATAACATTCCCACGGCTAAAAGTGCGAGCATGTTCAGTGATGGGATCCGAACCTGCAACCCACAGATTGTGAATCGATCGCTCTAACCACCATGTCATGCCAGGCCTAAATCCAATGAGCCCCTACTGGAAGTTCTAAGGTTAAAAGGAACGTTTGGAGTGTATGGTGTATATTACTTCTAATGGGTAAGTTGTCCAAGGACGACAGCGGATAGCCGATATTCAAAGTCAGCTGATATTACAAAGGCAATCTGTGCTATTTGAACATTTTTGTATGCTACTTTGGTTTTTTCTTTATTTGAACAGCTGTACCAAAGCTTGATATAACAAACTGACTGCGTTTCAATTGTTTAATGTTTACCCATCAAACAAAGCAAATGCATGGACAATAATTATTTTCATTTCAAAACGATTTTTTTTTCCAATTAATGATATGGCTTTCACTCTGAATGACACACCTTGTTATCACGGTTGTTTCAAAAAATGGATAAACATATTTTGTTAAATAATTCATCTTTAAGCGATGTTAACTATTATAATATGACGATAATAATTACTGTATGGATGTTTCTTACGAATACTCATTTGACTACCTACAGGACCTGAATAAAATACGTTTGTCATAAGACAATATTGTTAGGCTTATTGGGTTTTGTGTGTGTGTGTGACAAATATAATTTATCATAATCACGGTTAGCCAGCAAAAGGCGTTCCCGCCATAACAACTGATATGCCAATAAATGGGTTGTATAAAATACTGTTCCGAACATTATTATATTTATTGTATTCCAACCAGCTGACGAGCTCTGGTAATGAGCAAAACGCGTCGTCAGCAATGGATATACCGGAAATAACATTGCTAAAATACTTTTATTCACTCTCCTTATTCTCAGAAAAGCGTAAGACATCGTATAAAGAATGTAGTTTAAAAAAACGACAAGCATAAGATATGATTGAAATATTTTGATACGATGGTGGCAGCTAGTCATCACCACCCACCGCCTACTATTGGGCTACTTTTTACCAACCACATTATAACACCCCTACAGCTGAAAGGGCGAGCATGTTTGGAGCGCCCTAACTACCTGGCCATGCTGAGCTAGACTGGGTCACTCACACAATATGTACAATTTTATTACATTATGAATACTCGTGGAGAGATTTGATTTCTTTCATACTTCTATTATCCTTTTATCATCATCATTTGCTTCTTCATTTCTCTTTTTCTGTTTTTGTTGTTCGATTTCTGCTGCAATTTATCTATTGCAGCTTTTAGTTCTACACTTTCATCAAGAGAGAGCCTCAAGAGGTCTGAGGGGCCATTGCTAGGTTGACATGAGTCAGGATTTTTGTAAAATTCATGAAAATGATTTCAACTTGTTTCTTATAAAAAAAGATAACCTGAGTCTTCATCACCAGTAACATGATTGTAAGTGAGGAGAAAGACAACCATTTCTTTAGCATTCGGATATTTGTATACAATAGGTTTGTGCCAATCTTTCCCTTTGCTGATAACCTTAGTTATTTGTTCCAGAATTTATTGACTGCCATCTGCTCCATAATCCAAGAAACAGCAGTCATTAAATATGTCGACAAAGTAACTTGCATTTACAGGTACCTCAGAAGCTACGGTAGAGTACTCCTGATGTTGCCTCACCCTTTTGAGTCTATCATGTGACAGGTGAGGAACATAGTTCAGAGAAGTGACCATTGTTGCTTTGTATATTTGTGTTTTTGACCCTGGCACAACAACTGTAGCTGAGAATTTCAATTTCTTTGGAAAAAGCGGTTTTTGGTGAATTACCATCTGCTCCAAATGGATTTTCAAGCTACTCAAGTTCATTGAATATGGGTGACGTGTCCATGGCCTCTTCCACAATGCTAACAGCAGTCATTTCATTGACTGGTAAGCCTTCCTCTTCATCTTCAACATTATCAGACACTTCTGGGGTAGGGTACCAGTTATTTCTTTTCTCTTGGAAAGGACTGAAGAACCAGAGCATTTCATATAAACGTCGTTGATCATCTTTGGGTGGTGGAATTGGCTGACTTGGGTGAGCTGTTAGATTGCATATACCATTCCCCGGGTTTGACCACCGCATCTTTCCATGCTGTGAGTTCATCTGCAAGATAGATTGCTAAACCAGCTGGTTGTCAATCCCCATCATACTGTCGTGGCCAGATAATCTCTTCTTTGGGATATGACCTAGCAAAGTGGGGCATTTGGGTTGGATTGAATTTCCTCCAGATGGATCATGTGTGTGAGGTTTCTTTTCACCCTTGCAAAGACGTATTTATGTCTGTTTCATACCCATTGGCCATACTTTGAAAAAATTATTCTACAACATCAGTGCCAGTCAGATCAAGATGACAAGGTGTACCTCTGAAATTCTCCTTCACTTAGCTTCCAAATGACGTCAAGTATATCTATGCAGCACTGCCTTGATAGAAAATATTTAGCTAGATTATATCCTGGTTGTCTCTGCACAAAATTGTGCCAGATACATAGGAAAATTACCACAAGGCTAGAGTACAATATCCTTTCCTGTAGAGAGGCCTTGCCACTGAGAAATATCTCACAGTAACACCAGAGAACAATGTTCCCTCCAAACTAGT